ATGCAGTGTTAACAATAATAACTGCCTGTGGGAGCTTGATTGATGACACATAGTGAGCAAACATGTGCAGCGCTAACAACAATACTGTTAAATATCTAATATATTATGATGTATTACAAGAGTAGCAACCTAACTGTGGTACAATCTTGTGTGGTAGTAGCGTGTGTACATCATTTAGTTTTCATAGATTTCTACAAATTGCTGTTTTTACCTGAGAAACTGATCTGAGTCCTTGTTCCACCAGCCAATCAGGGTTGGGAGGGTTACTTTAAAGATGTAGTATATTGCTTTTTGTTGGCTCGTTGGTTGGTTGGTGCTAGATGGTTGGTTGGTTGGTTGGTTGGTTCGTTGGTTGGTTGGTTGGTTGGCTTGTTGGTTGGTTGGTTGGTTGTTGGTTGGCTAGATGGTTGGCTCGTTGGTTGGTTGGTGGGTTGGTTGGTTGGTGGGTTGATTGGTTGGCTCGTCGGTTGGTTGGTTGGTTGGTTGGTTGGTGTTGGTTGGTTGGTTGGTTGGTTGGTTGGTTGGTTGGTTGGTTAATTGATTGGTTGGCTCGTTGGTTGGTTGGTTGGTTGGCTCGTTGGTTGGTTGGTTGGTTGGTTGGTTGGTTGGTTGGTTGGTTGGTTGGTTGGTTGGTTGGTTGGTTGATTGGTTGGCTAGATGGTTGGTTGGTTGGTTGGTTGGCTCGTTGGTTGTGTACTGAGTACATGTACATTTACTAATTGAAATCCACTACATCTAAGAGTCAAATTGGAACCTTTTACTCCATTAAATTTATTTAATAATTTAATTGAAAACTTACTTTACATATTCAGATATCAAAANCGATCTCCAGCCCTCGGCTCAATTGTAAAACCCCCGGGTTCTCACAATATTCCTTTTTCCTCCCCCATGGACGAGGTTTCACCACACACACACACACACACACACACACACACACCCGCACGCGCACGCAAACACACACACACACACACACAGAGAGGAAGTGCATGCTGGGAGTTTCTCTTGG